AATCTGTTTGTGGGGCCCGAATGCTTCTGTATCTTTTTCCAGATGGCAGGAGAGTAAAGAGCATGTGTGAAGGGGGGGGGGGGGTCAGCCACAATGTTTCTGGCTTTATGAATGCAGGGTGTAGTGTATATGTCCAGAGGGAAGAACAACCCCAATCTTTTCTGCCATCCTCACTCTTTGCTGTAGGGTCTTGCGATCCGAAACGGTGCAATTCCCAAACCAGGGGGTGATTCAGCTGCTCAGGGGGCTCTCAATGGTCCCTCTGTAGAAGGTGGTGAGGATGTGTGGGGGAAGCTGTGCCTTCCTCAGTTTCTTAAGAAAGTAAAGATGCTGCTGGGCCTTCCTTGTTATGGAACAGGTGTTGAGGGACCAGGTGAGATTCTCCGCCAGGTGAACACCAAGGAATTTGGTGCTCTCTACGATCTCCATGGAGGAGCCATTGATTTTTAGCAGGAAGCGGTTGTGTTGTGTCCTCCTGAAGTCAACAACCATCTCTTTTGTTTTGTCTACATTCAGAGACAGGTTGTTGGCTTTACACCAGTTCGTTAACTTCTCCACCTCCTCTCTGTATGCTGTCTCATAGTTATTGCTGATAAGACGCACCATGGTCGTGTCATCAGCGAACTTTATGATGTGATTCGAACTATGAATCGCTACACAGTTGTGCATCAGCAGGGTGAACAGCAGAGGACTGAGCACACAGCCCTGAGGGGCTCCAGTGCTCAGTATGATGGTATTAGAAGTGTTGTTCGCAATCCGGACTGTCTAACGTCCTCCAGTCAAAAAGTCCAGGATCCAGTTACAGAGGGAGGTGCTCAGGCCCAACAGGGTCTGCTTCCTCATCAGGTGTTGAGGAATGATAATGTTGAATGCTGAACTAAAGTCTATGAACAGCATTCGTACATATGAGTCTTTGTTTTCTAGGTGAGTGAGGGCTAGATGGAGTGTAGTAGAGATGGCATTGTCGGTGGAGTGATTTGAGCGGTATGCAAACTGCAGTGGATCCAATGTTACGGGCCACAGGGTCTTTATGTGCCTCATGACGAGCTTCTCGAAGCACTTAATGATGATGGGAGTAAGTGCAACGGGACGGTAGTCATTGAGGCAGGACACTGATGGTTTCTTCGGCATGAGGATGATGGTCGTTATCTTGAAGCACTTTGGGACAACAGTGGTGCTCAGAGAGATGTTGAAGATGTCGGTGAAAACATTTCCCAGTTGGTCTGCACATCCTCTGAGCACTTTGCCAGAAATATTGTCTGGTACTGCAGCTTTCCGTGGGTTGATTCTGCTTAGAGCTTTCCTCATGTCAGTAGTGGAGAGACAAAGTAACTGGTCGTTGGAAGGAGGTGTGGTCTTCCTCGCTGTCACATTCTTCTGTGCATAGAAGCTGTTTAACACATCTGGAAGTGAGCCATCACTCTCACAGGCAGGTGGTGATTTTCTGTAGTAAGTGATGGTTTGGATGCCCTGCCACATACACCATGTGTCGCCGCTGTTCATGAAGTGTTGGTGGATCCTCTGAGCACCTGCACGCTTAGCTTCTCTGATGGCCTGGGACAGATTGGCTCTCGCTGTTCTTAGGGCCGCTTTATCACCTGCCCTGAATGAAGAATCTTGGGTTTTTAGTAGAGCACGCACCTCTACAGTTATCCACCATTTCTGGTTGGGTGTGAGATAATTTTCTTGGAGTCTGTGACATCATCAATGCACTTGCTGATGTAGCTGGTCACTGACGATGTGTGCTCCTCCAAGTCAGTGGAGTCACCGTTGGTTGCAGACTCCCTGAACATGTCCCAGTCAGTGCATTCAAAGCAGTCCTGAAAAGCAGAGATGGCTCCTGCTGGCCAGGTCCTCACCTGCTTCCGAACTGGTCTTGAATGCCTGGTGAGTGGTCTGTATGCTGGAATTAGAATAACAGAGATGTGGTCTTACTAACCAAGGTGGGGGGCGGGGCTGTGTCCGGTGTGCACCCGGGATGTTTGTATAAACAACATCCGGCATGTTTTCCCCTCTGGTTGCAAAGTCCACATTTTGATGAAATTTAGGGAGCACAGTCCTGAGATTTGCATGATTGAAATCTCTGGCAACAATAAACAATCCCTCAGGGTGTGTATTCTGCAGTTCGTTGATGGTCCGGTGAAGTATACCGAGTGCTTTCTTAGCATTAGCGCTAGGTGGGATATACACGCCAAGTATAATAGCAGTGGTGAATTCCCTGGGTAAGTAAAAAAGTCTACATCTCACAACCATAAACTCCACAAGTGGTGAGCAGTAGGTGGAAACGAGGACAGAGTTTTTACACCATTCTGTGTTGATGTATACACACAGTCCACCACCACGAGTCTTACCACTCAGAGCGGCATTTCTGTTGTCACGAAACGCAGTTAACCTGTCCAGCTGAATAGCAGCATCTGGAACTCTATTACTCAGCCATGTCTCTGTGAAAACAAAGATGCAGCAGTGTCTGTACTCACACCATGTATCTTGCTGGAGTCTGATGTAATCTAATTTATTGTCCAGGGAGCAGACATTTGCTAGCAGGATGGATGGTAGAGCAGGCCGGCTAGGATTTGCCTTTAGCCTAGCGTTAACCCCTGCTCACTTTCCGTGCTTCCACTTCCTCTTGCACTGCTTCCGATACCCCCTCCTCCATCAGTTGGCTTCTGGCGATGCCGGGATCTGAGGGCCTGGACCTCGGAGCAAGCCAAGGTTACGCAGCTTCCTCTGCAAATCATCATTAATGGTGTTGGAGTTGTTTCTGTATTTCCATAGCGTCTGCCGTAGGTACACATAAACACCGGTTTCT